CGGAATGCAACACTGCAATCCTAATATCTATATTCTGAATTTAAAAATCGAAGTTCGTATTGCGAAAGGAGTCTTTCCAGCACAAGACATTTTCAAAGTGTGCTTCTACGTTACATCAGAAATATGGAAGATTTAGGTAGCTGGAGCAGTTTTCAAAACAGCACCTGACTCTGAGTAACAAAGGCCCCCTTGCTGCCGAAACTAGTCACAAATCTGAAGACTAGTCCCTGAGCCTACAAAAAGCACAGACAAGGGAATCAGCAGTGCATCAAAAAAAGTCTACTGGCGAGTGTTTTGAGATGCAAAACAGTATGCACAATACTCCTCCCTTTCTGCACCCTCAGGAGATGTTTCCAGAAACCCCTTGCTAGTCCTGTTTACTACAGAGGATTTGTCACACTGTGGATTAGAGTCAACTGTTATATTAAGAGAGGAGGCATCCAAAAATATACTAAACTGGACCCTCAGTGGAAGGCCTCATCCTACATACTTCTTTCATTTCTCAATTGGCCACTGACAACAGACAGAAATTACAAAGGCTGGAAGATGGCCCTCATACCCCACAAACGGACCTCTTAAATACTGACTTTAAAGTTTTCAATAATAGAGATAAGAAAGCAAAAGTTGAACAGTTTAAGAGATCAAGCTGAATGCTGGCAGCTGCTCTGAAGGGCTCCCCCAGAAATAAGCAAACTCCTAAGGGCAGAACCTTGAAGCCCTCTCCAGGCCTGCTTTAAATGTGGCAAAGAGGGACACTGAGCCAAATGTTGCCCTAATCTTTGCCCTCCTCCAGGTCTTTTTCCGTGCTGTGGCAAGAAGTGTCACTGGAAAGTCGACTGTGACCTACCCGCTTAAGGAAGGGTCTCATCTCTTCCCTCTAAAAAGTTGGAACAAGTGGACCTCATCTTGCTTAGACTTCTCAGCCTCACCACTGAAGACTGAGGTGCTTGGGCCCTGTGGTCCCCACACCTATCACTCCTTTAGAGCCCAGGGTAACTTTGCTAGTGGCAGGTAAGCCAGTCTCCTTTCTTATTGATACAAGGTGTCATTCATTCTACCTTACGTAAATTTGCAGGTCCTACTTGACCCTCTCAAGTCTCTATTGTAGGGGTTGATGGTCTCATATCTAAGCCTTTACCCACACTCTCTTTAAATTGTCTCTTATTTGGAACACCTTTCGGTCACTCCTTCCTAGTCTTCCTAAGTGTACAACCCCAATCTTTGATAGAGACATTTTATCAAAATTCAGAACCTCCCTTATGCTTCTCTCTCCCACCTTTAATTCAGACTCATCCCTCCTTCTCACTAAACCGGAACCAGATACATTCCCCATTCCAACTTCTATGGTCACACTCAAGGTCTGGGATACCTCCTCCCCTTCTATAGTGCAACACCACTCCTATCCCCATAAAACTCAAAGACCCTTCAATATACACCTGACAACCCCAATGCTCCTTATCCTTGGAATGCAGAAAAGGCCTCCAACCCATCATACAATGCCTTCTATACCAAAACCTCCTGAGACCCACACACTCCCCATGGAACACCCCAACCCTGTCTGTCAAGAAGCTGGATGGTTCATATCACTTAGTCCAGAACCTCTGCATCATGAATCAGGCAATTCTTCCAACCCAACCAGTAGTATCCAGCCCCTAGGAGGGCAGACCCTTCTGTCCCTTATTTCCACAGACACTGCTCATTTCACTGCAATGGATGTAAAAGATGCATTCTTCACCACTCCTCTACACCCAGAATCCCAAAATCTCTTATCTTTTACCTGGAGAGATTCTGTTACCTATCAGTCCAAACAACTTACCTGCGCTGTCCTTCCCCAAGGTTTCCAGGGTAGTCTCTACTTCTTTGGACTAGCCTTAGGATCAAATTTAGTAAAACTAGATTTCCATCCCAGCACTCTTCCCCAATATGTAGATGACCTCTTCCGTTGTAGCCCATCTTACTCTCTCTCCTATGAACACACAGATAGTCTCCTAAATCATTTGGCTAAAAATAGATACCAAGTCTCTCCCAAGAAGGCCCAACTTTCTTACCCTCAAGCCATTTATCTTGGTCTCTCTATTACCTCATAACATCGCACCATTATTTTAGATAGAAAAGACCTCTCACCTCCCACCTGAAAACAAGAGCTTCAATCGTTCCTCAGTTTAGCAGGGTTTCTCCATATTTAGGTTCCTCTCTTCAGCAACTAGCCCACCCTTTATACCTGGCTTCTAATGGTCCTTTGACTGAACCACTAGATCTCACCATTAATGTTAGCTCTTACTTCTAGAAGTTACAGCGGGCTCTTATATTGGCCCCAGATCTTTCCCTTCCCAACCTCTCCAAACCCTTTACACTTTATCCTACAGAAAACAAAGGAATAGCACTTGGAGTCTTAGGACAAGTCCAGGGACCCAACACTACTAAGTAGTTGCTTATCTATCAAATCAACTAGATACCACAGTCAGGGGTTGGCCATCCTGCCTAAGAGCCCTGGCAGTGGCCACTCTTCTAACTCTTCAAAGTCAGAAACTCACATTTGGACAACCCATCATGGTTTATTCTTCACATAATATCTCCGACCTCATAACACACATAGCTACCCAAAATCTCCCCAACCCTTTAGAATACAAAATTTTCACACAATCTTTATTGAATCTCCACATGTTACCCTAGCCAAATGCTCTCCATTCAATCCTGCCAATCTTTTACCTATTCCCAGTGAAGGGCCTTCACACTCCTGTATAGAAATCCTCAAACTTAAGACTTTCTATTTCCCAAATGTAACAGATTCCTCTTTACCCAATGCCTCCCAGGATAGGAAAAAGTTATCAGGCTACTTGGTAGTGTCTGCCACGGAAGTCATAGAATCTAGTCTCCTTCCTGTAGGGATCATCTCTCAAAATAGAATTAATTCCCCTCACCAGAGCATTAACCTTAGCATCTGGAGAAGAGTTTAACATATATACAGATTCCAAATACGCTTTCCTTATTCAGCACTCACATGCCTCAATTTGGGAAGAAAGATTTCTCACTACAAAAGACTGTCCTATTTCCAATGCCCTCTTAATTCTTATACTTCTTCAGCCCATTTGTCTTCTCAAGGCAATGTTGTAGCCATGAATCCCCAATAGACAGACACATGGACCATCAGAAATCAGTAAGTTATAAGAAATACACTCTTTATTCAGCCAGCTGGGTCTGCCAGGGGTACGCAGACCCCAAATTAAGCAGCACCGAAATGTAGAGGTACAGGGTTTTTAAGCCCTAAACCCCATTCCTCATTCTGTCTGAACAGTCTATTTTTCTTCTATTTACTAATTGTCAACCCACAGGTCGGTTGTGTAAGCGGGGGTACAGAAGCAGAAAGCTTATTGTTAGAGTGTTAGATTCCCATGGGCGATAGCCAAGCAATAATTTTCTAGCCAGCACATTCCCCACTGGCCTTAGCAGAAAATCAAATCTTTGATTCTTTGTGTGGAATTTGTTCGTAGCCTCTATTTTGTAATACTAAAAGTTTAATAGAATTAATTTTTTTCTTTATATATGTAAACAAGAAATTGAGGAAACATGGGCCAAAAGTTAACAAGGAGGAGGAGGATTAAAGGTCCAGCTACAGCAGATAGAAAGAAGGGTTGTTAGCCATGGTGACCAGCTGAACATCCTCTGAAACCAGTTATTTGATTCCAGTCTTTGTTTTTTTCTGACATCTAAATTTTTCTGTATTAGTAGTAAGCTTTCTCTAATTACTCTAGAGTTATTAGCATAGAAGCAACAGGTTTCACTTAGAGCCATACATAATCCAGTTTGTTCTAAGAATAATAAATCTGAACCTCTTTTATTTTGGAAGACTACTTCTGTTAGTGAATTGACTTGAAGTTCGAGCCTGCTGATGGTGTCTTTTAAGGTTCTGATATCTTTATCTATCTGTATTTCAATTTCATGTAATTTATTTTCTCCCTTGATGAGAGCAGTAGTACCTACAGCTGTAGAGCCTTTAATTTTGTTTTACAAGAAGGATTATTAAGACTGGTACGGCCCGTTTCTGTAGCCCATCCTGGTGGAAGAAGTGGAGTCTGCCTTCCGGCCCATTGTAAAGGGACACTTGGGGGAATATAAAGACTAGGATACAAATATTAGCCTCATCTGAGTTGAAAAGATCGGATGCAGCACAGTGAGTGAGCCTACTATTACATGGTAACCAAGTATTATTAGGAGCCTTATAGTATTTACCCCCTCAGGAAGATACTTCAATAGTATTATTACAGTTATCAAAGTAAGGTGACTGTGCTAACAGTTTGGAATAGTTTTTTGAAATTAGGAAGTTTCTTTTTTCTTTTACGTCTCTTAAGATGAGTTTAGGAGTTTTCCATTCTCAGTCTTGTGTGCTGCTAAGCTCAGTTAGGTTTAGGGAAGTTTCTACACCAACATAATAAGGGGGTTTTGGGTTTCGGCACAACCAGCAATCTTGTCCTATGTCTGGAATGGTCTTATTCAAGACCTTGTGTATTGTTGTTAACATAGTTATAAATATTCTTTCTGGTTTCGGTTGTGCCTGGTCAAATGTCTGGGCTAAAGAGGAAAAAAGGAAGAAACAGAGGGTTAGATTTATATATGTTTGAGTCTTAGTCTTAAGGGCTTGTCTTCTTGAACTGTCCACTCTTGTGCTGCTTTCACATGGGAGTGATGAATCTATGATGGGATGTCATCTATTTTAACTGTAGTGGGTGTCACCAGGTAGACAGTGAAGGGTCCTTTTTATTTGGGTTCTAGTCCTTTGGAAGTGAACTTCCAGATCTACACAGAGTGCCGCGGCTAAAACTGATGGGGAAGTCTGTTCCCCAGAGCTGAGTGGGCAGCACAAACCCAGGACTAAATCTCCTTCTGTACACTTTATAGGACCTATAAAGACTTAAGTAAGACAAGGTTGCATAGTTCTGCCTTTTTTTCATCTTTTATTTTAGATACTAAAGGTGGGGGTTTTCCAGAGAAAATATCAAATGGAGTGAATTCATTAATATATGGAGTACACCTGGCTCGGAAAAAAGCAAAGGGGAGAAGTTCTACCCAGGTCCCACCAGTTTCTAATCCTAACTTGACTAATGTCTCTTTTAGGGTCCTATTCATTTGTTCTATTTGGCCCAAACTTTGGGGCCAGTAGGCACAGTGGAGTTTCCATTGCAAATTTAGGTAGCTAGCCAATTGTTGTGATACCTTTGCTAAGAAGGCTGGTCTGTCATCCAACCCTAAAGTTCCGGGGAGACCGAGTCGAGGGAGAATTTCTTCTAGTGGTTTCTTAGTAACTACTGAGGCAGTCTCTTTCCTGGTAGGGAAGGCCTCTACCCATCCTGAAAAGGTGTCTATAAAAGCAAGTAAATATTTGTAGCCGCCCACAGTCAGAGTTACCTCAGTGAAATTTACTTCCCAGTGGTCCCCCGGACAAGTTTCTCTTTTCCTATGCCTAGGTTTTTCTATCTTTCCCTTTTTTGGGCACAAGCCGGGCATCGTGAGGCCATCTCCTCTGCAGTTCTTCTCCCTTCTAACAAGTGAAAGTAGGGGTCTAAAGCTTGGAGCATCTTAGTTCACCCTAGGTGTGTGGTCTGCTGGAGTTGGTGGAGGAGAGTCCTTCTAAGGGCCCATGAGAGCCCGATTTTTCCATCTGGAGTCTTCCGCCACCCCTATTGGTTCCAAGTGGCTCCCATATCTTGAAAATATATGTTCTCTTCCACCGTATAGGTCGGAGACGGAGGCAGTTCTGAGAAAGGGACAACAGTAGTAGATGTGATGGGGGCCCCACTTGTGGCCGCTGTTCTTGTCTCTGTTCAGCTTGTCAGTTTCTCTCAGTCTCAGGACTATTTCTTTTTTGATGTCTTTTAGAATGAACAAAATAGTCAGAGTCTTAGGCATCTATATAGTTTCAAGTAAGGCTAAGATCTCCCCCTTGTTCTTGATGTCCTTCCCAGCTGAAGTCAGAAGCCCTCTTTCCTTGTAGATGGCTCTGTGTACATGTGCAGTGGCAAAGGCGCATTGGCTGTCAGTGTATATTGTGACTGCCTTATCCTTTCCCCATCTTAGTGCCTCAGTGAAGGTGATGAGTTCTGCCTTTCGAGCAGAAGTCCTATGCGGAAGAGCTTGTGATCAGATGGTGTCAGTTAGAGTTACGACTGCTGTCCCAGCATACCTCCTTTTTTCTTGTATGAAGCTGTTGTCGTCCGTGAAAAGAACTTCATTGGCCTCAGGCAGAGGGGAATCTCTGAGGTCTGGCCTCGAGGAACACATAGTGTCAGTGAAATCTATGTAGTCCTGAATGGGAGTCTGGGGGTCTAGGTCTGGCAACAGATTGGCTGGGTTGATGACAGTAGCTTTGGGTTTTAGCCATACGTTTGGGGTCATACGGTGCCTCCCTGTTGTTGAACACCTTCTGGACTATCTCAAGAAGTTGGGATAGGTTCATCCCTGCAAAACCTTCTAATTTTTGTAATTTACACCGGATATCAGGGACTGCCTGAGTAGCAAAGGCTATATTAATTGCTTGCTGGTTTTCAGGGGCCTACTGGTTCTCAGGGGCTTCAGGATCAATGGGGTGTATACCCAGTAGGCCTCATTCAAGAAACGCTCCAGGGGATTCCTTAGGTCCCTGTATAACTGCAGTTACCTTAGAAAGGTTAGTTGGCTGATGAGCAGCCATCCTTATTCCCCCAATTAGAATCTGGTGGTGCCGATCTAATGCCGTTCTCCCTGCCTGAGAATTGTGTCCGCAGTCTGGGTGGGTGGAGAGAAATTCCTCCTCAATCTGTTCCCCTGCTTTCTTAATTTTCTTCCCTCTCACAACTATCTTTTGTGTTTCAGTCTGAATGTGCCCGCATTCTTTCTCGGTGAAGGGGTTAATTAAAAGCTGTTGGCAATTATCTCAAGTGGGGCGGTAAGTCTGAAAGATACTCTCTAAGAGTCCCATTAATGCCTGGGGTTTCTCAGAGAAAGGTGGATTTTGTGTCTTTCAGTTGTACGGGTTACTAGTCAAGAAAGGCACATAAACCATAATGGGACTGTCTGCATGATGTCCCCAGGGTGGTGCTTCTCACAAGGGGAGGATGTCCAGGGTGGTGGTATTAACTGGTGCCCTGCTCAGAGCAGGAGCAGGAGGCGCATAGGGGTTACCTGCCTGTGTCCGAGGAGGTGAGGTAGTGTTATTGGGTCTCTGTTGTCCTGGATCATAGGGTGGGGGAAGGTCACTGCCCTCCGGTGGAGATTGGAGGACTGAGGGACTGGGCCGTCTTGGAAATTCATTTGCTGTATGTTTTGGGTGCCTGCAACTAAGACTTGTGCCCCTAGAGAAAGGGCACACCGACGGAGCCAAGGACGGGGTTTCAGAACAAGGTTTAACCATTGATCAAAGTAGGAAAACTGATCAGAATGTTCTGGGTCTCCCGTGACAATCTTCCAAACATTCCTCACTGTCAAAAGAACCCTCTGGAGACCGGTTTACATCAAAAGACAGCCACTCAACTTCACACAATGTTCTTAGTCTGCCTGGAGAACACTTTATGCCATAGTCAGGTCCCTCTACAAACCTTTCTTTGAAATGTTGCAGCAGACACTCCAAGGGTGTCTTCTGTGAACCCGGGGCTTACCCCCATCACTTGTGCAGAAAACACAAAACAGACTCTCAGACGAGAACAATTACTGAGGTGTAGGTAGACCCAGAGAAGTCTACCACCTACAACCTAGACAAGACCAAAGACAGTAGACAGAACCTAATGACAGGGTACAGGAGGTGGCGTCCTGTATCCTGGCCACAGTCCGGGAGATATGACTGTGTCCAGTCTCTCCACGGACCCCCCGGGGACCAGTCAACAGAAACAGAAACGAAAGATACCTTTTATCCAGACGTTGAGGCCTCGGAGATTCCTGTCAAGATCGGGAACAAAGAGTGTGTCCTAAAGGTTGCATCCATGACAATTGCATTGACCCTGTCACGGCGTTCAAGGGTCCTGGAATGTTTCAGGGTGGCCACCCCTTTGAGTCTGTTACAGGGACTGCAACCGTTCCAGAGGCCAGTCCGGTATTAGATCTCAGGGCCGCTCCCTCAGATCTTACTGGGACCTCCAAATGTTTTAGCCGCCAGTCCCGGATAGATACACAGACCACCAGAAACCAGTGACTTATAGGAAGCACACTCTTTATTCAGCCAGCTGGGTCTGCCAGGGGTACGCAGACCCCAAATTAAGCAGCCCCGAAATGTACAGGTTCAGGGTTTTTAAGCCCAAAACCCTATTCCTCATTCTGTCTGAACACAAAAGTCTATTTTTCTTCCATTTACTAACTGTCAACCCACAGGTCGGGTGCGTAAGCGGGGATACAGAAGCAGAAAGCTTATTGTTAGAATGTTATGTTCTCATGGGCGATAGCTGAGCAGTAATCTTCCAGCCAGCACAAGCTCACAAGTGATCCCTTAATTTACCATATTTGGGATTACATCAGATTTTTTTTAAGTTATTTTAAAAATGTTTCTTTCCCTTTTTTATGGAATATGATGATGCTAAGTTATTTTTCCTTAGAGCATACAGATTCTATCCACTGCCTCAGATTTAGAAATGCCCTTCCTAGTGAAAGAACGGAGGGGGAAGTGTACTGGCTTCATTGTCTAGCAAGTGGCGTCCAGCCTCTGGCCCGCCTCGGCGTGTTCCAGCAGGGGAGCCTGCTACTGAGCTATAAAATGGGTGGTCATCTCTGAGGTTCTTTCCAGCTTGGGAAGGCTTTATGTTTGTACAGAACCTATTGCATAGCCTTGTAAGCTTCATCGCCAAGTCTGAAGGTATATTTTAAAACAGTTAAATGACAGGGCTTAGTCAAATTTGCAAATTCTTTGTAACTAACTTTAAGAGCTTTCTTAACTCATTGATATTTAAATAGCATTCAAATGATTATCAGCAAGCCAGGTGAATTTTTGTGTCACTTTCCGAATCTAATTTTGTAAACACTTCTAATTCTCTAAAATGTAAGAACACTTTGAAAAGCGAATACATTGCCAAGTGTTATGCCGAAAACGCCTTAGAATTAGGAAAGGACTGGCAGGTCGCTGTGGCTGAAACTTAAGTGCTCCACCGGAAGTTAGCCCACACTGCGCCGCACTCCCGTCTCTTGCTGTTGTTAAGGGCTCACAGGACACTTGTTCACACCTTGTATAGATGGAGGGGACCTACCAAAGCCGTTTGAAGTGGATGGCCTCCATCCCGCTGGCGACATGCCTCATCTGGACTCTGCCGCAGCCACTGCTTCCACACCTGTCTCCTGTCACTTCCCAAGTAAGTTTGTCTTGGTTTTAACTAACAGGTGGCGTGACGGAATACTGAACATCAGTCTGTGCCCTGGAAATTGTTTCATGTGTTGTCGAAGGACTTTCTGTGAGCCTAAGTTATTCAAAGTCCTGGTTGGGGTATTACCGTTGATGACATTTCTGAAGTAGTTCTCAGTTTGAACATGTAAAGATAGTGCTGAGGAGAAAGCTGTGAAGGAGAGGCTTCTCATTTAGTCTTCTCGAACTTTTAAAAGTTTTCCTTTACTTGTCCAAGGTTTCACAGAGCAGTTATTTTTTTGCTTAGGACCTTTCTGCAAATTCCATGAGAGCCTTATCATCTTGGAAAATCATAGTACAAAGTCAAAATAATAGTTCATACCCATATACATCTTCGATGAGATTGTAAAGTGGTAACATTTCTTCTTGTATCTATTTGTCTTCATGTCTTAAAAGATTAGGGCAAAAAAACCTTTAAAATCTTTGGAAAACCTGACACACCGATGACAATACAGGAAAACTGGTTATCAGGTTTATCTTGTTGGGCTCACTTTCTCTTTCTTCTTATCTGGGTGTAAAGATAAATGAGAGAGGACAGAATTGATATCTTTGTGGAAACACTGTTTTTCTTTGTTGTTACGTCCAAAGATGTTTCTGTATGCTACTGTGCAGCTACAAAGTACAATCATGTGCCACTTAACGACATAAACACATTCTGAGAAATATGGCATTAGGCAATTTCATCAGTGTGTGAACTTGCTAGAGGCACAGAAACCTACCTGGCATAGCCTACTACTCACTTAGGCCTACTACTCACATGACCTACTACTCACTATGGCACATCCTGTTGCTCCTTAACTAGAAACTGTACAGCATGTTATTGTACAAAACAACACAAGATTTAATCAAGCACAAGAGAAATGATGCAATAAAAAGAGTAAACACGTGATATGAGGTTGCTGCCTGTGTAACATGCATACTGTTTTACAACAACTGTTTTTATAAATTAAAGGAGTACACCACAAAATAATGATAAAAAATACAGGAAATATATAAACCATTAAAATAGTTTTTTATTATCAAGTATCATATACTGTATGTAATTGTGTGTACTGTATTTTTATAACACTGGCAACAAAGTAGGTTTGTTTACACCAGCATCAACACAAATGGAAGTAATGCATTGGGCTATGTTGTTATGACAGCTATGAAGTCCTGGGCAATAAACATAAAATTCCCAATTCCATTACAGTGTTGAGTTCATCAATGTAGATACAGTCTGTCATTGACTAAAACTCATTAGGCTCATGACTATAAAAGCCACAGCAAAGAAGTAGTTTTTTAAATTTTTTATTTCTTAATTTTTAAACTGACACCTAAGTAGCATTCTTATTTTGACATCGTTGTTCCATGTGAGGAAGCAGTACAATTTAGAAGTAACCCTCTTCAACCAGCAAAGGAAAGACTGCATTTTTTCATGTAGAAATGATCACCTGCCTCCTGTAGTATTTGAAATTCATGACCACGATCAAGAGAAGAGAAATTTATGTTGCCTCT